ATTACATTGTAACAAGGACAACTTAAAATGAAGTGTAACCAAAAAGTAGTTCCTGGCTAAAACAATGTCAATAAACGGCTGCACGCCACTCCTCCAAAACACTTCGGACTCCCCTCTCGGCTAATGTTTTTCTGAGCCATGTAGTTAATTAATATTACTCAGTACTTAATGTATAATTACATTGTAACAAGGACAACTTAAAATGAAGTGTAACCAAAAAGTAGTTCCTGGCTAAAACAATGTCAATAAACGGCTGCACGCCACTCCTCCAAAACACTTCGGACTCCCCTCTCGGCTAATGTTTTTCTGAGCCATGTGTCTATAACCTCCCTCCAAAACCCAACCCCCAGCCCTTATGCCCCACAGACAAACACAAACTCCACAAGTTTCCCCCCAAAAAGCAACAGCCAGTACTCTAAACTCATAAACACCCCCCTGCACACGCAGCCAGCCCCCATCTGGCGGCCCCTGGCCCTGCCCCCGTTGGAGCTGGGGGCTGGGGTGGAGCTGAGATCAGGGATCAGGCAGACGTTGGCCCTTTGCTCAACAGCTGCCCGTGTTCACAAGCCAAGAGGAGGAAGTGGCAGCCGCCACTGCAGCAGCAGCAGCAGCACATCTGCTCTAATGAGTGTGTCAAAGCCACTAATGCACAGACACACACACACACACTGATCTGGCCCTCCCTTGACCTTCTCTTCACACACTCTGCACACCATCAGGCCAGAATGGAGCCCTTTGTGTGGCAGTGTGTTTGTGTGCGGTGTTTCGTGAAAGGTTCAGAGCTCTGTTGTGTAATGAGTCAGCTGTGACAAGAGGAAGCACTGCAAAGACATTTAAATTCATGAAACACACGCACGCACACACGCACACACACACACACACACACACACACACACACACAGTGAAGGGTCTGAAGTACATTACACTTCTGAAGCAAAGTTCAGATCTTACAGTATATCATCTATCTATCTATCTATCTATCTATCTGTCTGTCTGTCTGTCTGTCTGTCTGTCTGTCTGACGTTCTATAGTTTCTATCTATTCTATCATTCTGTCCATCCATTTTTCTGCCGTACTATCTACCGTTCTACAACTATAAACTATTTTTTAACAAATATTTTTAGTTCCTTAAAGAACCTTTTAGTTGAACTATTTGTTTCATTGTGTGATGAACCTACAAACTGTAAGAAACTACTGTTTTTCTGTACACAAAATTATTTTTACTATTAAAAATCTATAAACAATAGTTTGCAAAGAATTTTCCTTCACTGTAAACAATTATTTTTCAAAGTTAAACAAAAACAATGATCATTGGAGTACGTTTTACAAGAAAACATAAAAATTATAGTATCGATTATTTTGACATTATAATGCACATATTAATTTAGGTGTACTGTATTTGCAATATTTGTGGAAAAGTATTAACAACAACAATAGTGATCAAATGAAATAATACACTAAATCTTAATAAGTTAAATAAATTATTATATCAAAACCTAACACCAATGATATTGTCAGAATCAGATCTAAATCATAATCAGGTTAAGCTGATATGGTTCATAGAAACCAGTCCAGCTAATTTGTAATGACAGCAGGAAGACTCCTTCAGTCTCCAGAGTGTACAGTATGAGAGATCTCATCATTCTCACCACAGTCGTCACCTCCTACTACATCGCACATATGTGTACATTTATATCCAGACACCTTCACCAGCCAAACAAGCCAGCACACATACCTCTAACATATAGATCCGGTTGTGAAAGCAAAACATTTCTATTCCAATATCTTCAGTAACACAATGTTTTTATGATCTGTACAGCACTCTTTAATTTTCATTAATACATGACCAGAACTTTCTACAGCAGTATAAAATAGTACGTAATAAATAGTAATAGTAATATGAAGTGATAATATTAAAAACTACTTTTTGACTCTTCTTAAATCATATTAAAACTACCTAATAATTCAAGCAAAGAGTGAAAGATACAAAAAAAAAAAATCAGTGTTTACTGAGTGAGTTTTTGCTCAAATTGCAGCTACCACACAGGTGTCATTTCCACCACAATCAACAGTTTTGCTCGTTATTAAGTTTTATCAACATTCCAAATGTAATGTAAAATGTAATTTCCATCAAACAGAAGCTACAGATTGATGTCAACATTGCAAGTGACCTGCAAAACCCTAAAAGATGAGGGGGAAAACAGACATTTTTATTAAATTAAAATTAAAATAATCACCTGAAAATAGACTTCCCTTTATTTAAAAGTACCCTAAACGTTTGTGTTCATAAAAAAAACGTTTATGTCTGTTTTTAATTAGTTTCCAGCCTTACAGCTAAATTTAACCTCAACTAGGTCATGCATATTCAATTCAATTCAAGTTTATTTGTATAGCGCTTTTCACGATACAAATCGTTGCAAAGCAACTTTACAGCAAATTAGGTTTCTACAATATTTAGTAGTAGCTTATCAGTGCTATATGATATCATATGATAACATTGACCAATATCTAAACTCACCGTAGAAATACGGGGGGAAATCCAAGAACAGAATGTTATCATTATCTAGGAGTAATCATCACAAGATACTGTCAAACGTAATTACGGGGCTCTCTTTTTCTCGTTGTTAAAATCAGCGGATGTCGCCGTACGTGTTTCAAGGTAAACGTCTCCCCCTGGTGGTGTGTTGTTGACCTCGTATTTCCAAGACGAGGGCAGTTTCCGGTACCCGTCTCGTTATCGATTACAAAAACTGCCACAAAATACTGCTAAAAATTAACAAACACAAACAAGAAAGTGTTTCTCACTATATTACTTTATTGACTGGAGTGTCATGACAGTTGTCTGCCATTCATCCCAGATAAATGGAGCGATAGTTTTGGTGCAAATCCCACTAGATGATCATGCACACCAGCAAAGTGTACAGTAACAGTAAATTCAAGAGAATATGGCTTTGTGTTCTGTATATACATACATGAAAATCCAATCAGCAGCAATACAACACAGAAACAGTAAAGGATTTCAGAAACAGAAAAGGTTGTTTGTGCAAACATACTGTTGTTTGAATGTTTCAGCTGTCCTATTCTTGCCAATTTAATTTGTTCAGAGGAAATTTTGTGATAATACAAGATAAACGACATGTAATAGATGCTACTAAACAAATAAACAGGTTACACCATTTATTCAGCAGCTGTGAGCAACAGAAAAGCATCACACCATCATCAATCTGAAAAAGAAAGCGTTATCATTCTGGGTCATGTACAAAGGCTCTTTATATCACAGCATTCATTTATCCATTAAGATACTTCTTTGGATGCATGTATACTTGGCAAATGGCAATGACACTAATGCCCTCGAAAAAGCTAAAGGAGGTTTCTCAATAAAAGCTCAATCAGACGAAGGATTAGTTTTCAAGTTTCATTGTTCATCTGTATTAACAAGGCACACTTTATCCTACATTACTTATGTATGGGAAGGTGCAGTACTGAGGGTGAGACAAAACAGAAGAAGCAACTCTGGGTTTCTGAAACAACCCAGTCATATATTTAAATAGGCAAGCTCTGTTTAGATCATTTCTAACATGTAAAGGTTCTGTAAATGTGCTACTGGAGGTCAGAAAAGCAGACGACCTCCTGCAGCAGCTAGCAACCACAGAAGAAGTTCAAACATCAGTGTGTTTTACTGGCTAAACAGAGTCGTACATCCTGAGGTGGTGTCTGAATTCACACAAACGTCTTAAGGATCTATACTTTGACAATCTATTTTGAAAGGCAAGTTAACTGATATCTCATTACTGATCATTAAAGTGGCTTTAATACGCTTGTGGCATAAAGTTGTACAGTTGAACAATAAACATCTGAGGACTGTGCAAACGTTTACATGCATTCAATGGAATCAAAACCCCGACCTGTATAATAGTATATGCTTCTTGAGGCACATTTGAATTATATACTATTTTTTAGAGCAAATTAAATAGATTCAAATTTAAAGATGCTTCCATAAACGGTTTTGCTTCTATTTTTAGAAAAAACAGAAAACACCCACTGTAATCGTATTACATTTTGAGGCTGTATTGTACATAATTCGTATTCAGAATCAGAAAGTTTTTATGCACCTGGTAAAGAAACATTTAAATTGTCTTTTAAAAACCGTATGTTTAAATGAAGTCGACTTGAGTGAGTCCATTTAAAACAAGGACAAAGTGTGGTAATACACACTTGTATGATAAAACAAAGAAAGAACATTAAATATAACATGTATAAGTAACCGTTTTACCCAATCTGTGTGAAAAATTGATATCTAACAACAATATACATCACTACTGATGCCTGTTTGAACTACACTGTAAAAAATGACCGTGAATTTAACGGTAAAAGACTGTAAAAATGCTACAGTAAAAACCTGTTAAATGGTTAACGGTAAATTCCCCTACTATATACGGTGAAAAACTGTATTGGACATTACATGTATTGGACATTAATTTTACGGTAGTATACCGTTTTTGGAAGTGAAAAAGACTGTATAATTTACAGTGAATAACCGTAAATTGACATTCCCAGAATTCCCTGCGTTACATTTCAAATTTGATGTTTTTTTTTGTTGAAATAACTATGTTTCTTCTTAGTTTTTTCTTATCAGTTTTGTATATTAGGGTTGTGTGTTACACCTAATGTTGTTAAAGGAATGTTTATTGCATTATTTCAGTTTCATGTGTATTACCATGATGGTGTTTGGTGTTTGTGTGAATGACACTGTGCACCTTCTATATATGTTATTATTTAAAAGCTGCTTGTGATGGGCTTTGGTTCATCATGTGACTTTCTCATCACCACCTGCATTTGGTGGTTATCTGTGTATTACAAAGGTACAAAACAGATTTCAGTACTTCAATAGGTTGGTATATTAACATTATATCAGTTAATGAAATTACGGTATTTAACTGTAAATTTAAGTTAAAACCTAAAACGTTGCTACCGTATTTTTTACGGTAAAATTCCGGCAACCACAGCTGCCGGTTTTTTACCGTAAATTTTACGGAATTTTTTTTACAGTGTAGTAGCACATGTACAGCATATGGACTCAAGATGGAGATATTGAGCTTAAGAGAGCTCAAAATACCAGAGGAGAATTATGTAAAGCTGATGAGAAACAGTTAAATGATTACAAAAAATAACTAGTTGAAAAGCCCTTTTTGATTTACCACAAGAATGCCATTATATATGGCAAATATTCAATTTCAGAGGGCTGTAGGATGATCTGAGTGATACAAAATTATGTTCTTGCCATGGAGAAACTAAAGTGAGGTGGGAAAAGAAACATATGAGGCAACTTTCCGTCCCCGAGTCCAGAGCGTAATCCAGCCAGTGCTACATGCAAGCCGAGCAGCCTCTTAAAAGAGCTGGATCATTGATTCCCGCGACTTCCCAACACCAATCCACTTTACTAAAGCAAAGATGGAACAAGTCATTAGGATCGCTGTAGTAAAACAACCCAACTGCATTTTAAACGATCAGGCTTACAAGAACAACTTAAAGTTATAGTGACAGTCTACCCTCACCTTCATGTCATTCCAAAGCTGTATGACTTTATTTTTTGGTAACCATTTACTTCCATATTATTTTTTGTTGCACATTGTGTTCCACATTTTTTGTTCCAACTGTTTGGTTACTGACATTGTTCAAAATATCTTTTACGTTTCACAGCAGAAGGAAAGTCATACAAGTTTGGAATGACATGACAATGAGTAAATGACAAAATGTTAATTTTTGGAAGAACTATCCCTTTAAAGTCTTACCAGGCACACCCAAGTGATCTTCAATGTAGCAGGCGTATTTCTGTGCATTTTCTGGAAGCTCTTCAAAGGTCCTGGCAGCAGACGTGTCTGTTTTCCAGCCTGGCAGAGTCTCGTACTGCACTTCAACCTTCTGTAGCACCTCTTGGTTTGCTGGGAAACATGTATGATATTGAACTACACTAGATTTGATTAAATCTACTTGTGTGATATGGGAAAAGTGCTGCTTACCTGGAAAATGTGGGATGATTTCACCATCTACTTTGTATGCCACACCAACTTTGATCTCAGGAAGCACATCTAAGATGTCAAGTTTGGTGAGAGCTAAGCTAAACAGACATATAGAAGGATGCATATAAGAAAACAGTATTTTATAGAGCACAAATACAGAAACCAAAGGAGTCATATCTGAACACTCACGCTGTGAAGCCATTAATCATGTGGGCGTATTTGATAAGCACCAGATCCAGCCAACCACATCTCCTTTTGCGACCTGTGGTCACGCCCACTTCCTTGCCTCTCCTCTGCAAGAGCTCTCCAATTTCCTATGCAGAAGTACAGTATGCAAAGCGCAACATTTAATTCCTTTGTGTATTACAGTATGTGTACAGGTATCTTAATATTTGCAATGAATGGGTTAAACAGTCAAGCTTTTTAATGACAATTTTAATAATTTGCAATTTTAGGGATGACTATGTAGCATTCTATCCAGGCACTATAGAAGAAAAAGCCTTTGACTCACCCTGGTGTATTTACAGTAAAGTTTATTAATGTTCACTAACCCTATTTAATAAACTAAACTAAAAAAAAAACAATATGAGCTATATGATACTACTGTATTAGCAGCATTATTTGACAATTTGAATTATGAAGTCTACATTACTATTGTCTAAAAAACCTTCTTCCCACTAGATGGAGCCATTTTAAAACTGAAAACTCAAAGTGTTTGAAGTGTAAGAGCAATTTCTAGTAGAATTATATTTAGACTGACTTTATATTATGTGTTTTAATATAAATCATACTATGTACTGACATTTCAAATATAATTATGATACAATGCACTTATTGTCTACATGCATGTTTTTACATTGTGTTTATAATTGAAAAACACCTGCAGTAACCCCATCTGCATTTAAAGGGGTCATATGATGCGATGAAAATTTTTCCTTTCTCTTGGGAGTGTTACAAGCTCTTGGTGCATAAAGAAGATCTGTAAAGTTGCAAAGACTAAAGTCTCAAATCCAAAGAGATATTCTTTATAAAAGTTAAGAGTCAACCACGCCTACCTAAAAAGGCTCGTTCTAACACGCCCCCACATGTCTACGTAAAGCGAAACTACTTTGTTTGGCCTTCCAAAAGAGGACTCGACTACAAATCAGTGGTTAAGTTGAATTTACAATGCTGTTCCAGAACAGTTCAACCCAAATATTCAGATGTGTGCAGCACATTTTATGGAGGACTGTTTCCTGATCCTGGGAGAGTAGACTACAATGCCGGCTGTTCTGACTCGCAGTCTGCAAGTACGTTTTCATATTTAAAGGATTTGCCACTGATGATTCAAACGCGAGTTTTGAGCAGTGTAGAGTAGCGCTTGTAGTTTGTCATTTCTCCGATCACAAATGCAGACATGGTTTTATGTTTACGCGGCGCGATGCAACGCAACGCCTAAAAAGACAGTATAAGTCATTATAATCAGTAATTATGTCCCCACTGGATGCAACAAATGCCTCGTTTATAATGGGTTTTATTGGTTTTGTCTCGTCGTGCTGGGAGATGGCATCACGGTATGTTAAGGGGTGTAACATTTCCGTCACACGCTTGAGGTATTCAGCCAGATGAGCTTTGTAAAAATCGACGCGTTTCAGAAAGGCGGGGCATAGAGGAGAAACAATAATGTACAGTATGTGGAAAATAATGTGGTTTTTTTTTTAACCTTAAACCGCATAAACACATTTCATTACACCAAATACACAAAATAATGTTCTTTTTAGCAACATCATATAAACCCTTTAATTTCTGTAATATTTAATATGTTTTCTTTTAACTTTTATTTTGTTAAAGACACTATGTATTGCTATGTACAAGTGTGACCATACATTTGAACTAAAAACTACACCATTTAGACTTCTTCATGTCTTTCCCACAATTTTATTAATTTCCACTGTAGAATCCTAATAGTTCCAGGATTTCCTTGATCTTGAAAAGCCTGCTATTATTATGTATAAGCACGTGTTAAGTCACTGTAAAGCACATTATGAATAGGAAATCCTAAATGTCTCATACACAATGTATTCATTGTCATGTAGTGTGACAGAATACTGACTGCTCTGTTCCTCCAGCCTCATTATTCCTGTTCAAATCTATCCATAACAATAATCGTGCTCGACTAAAGTCAGGGTCATTACTGCCAAAACACTCACAACACTGAATGCACCAGAATATAAACAGTAGTGCGAGCTCATCCAAACAATGCGAAAACAAAAGAGGAAGTTAAGCAGCTGCTTACGTTGTTCTGTTCTGTAGGGAAAGCTCCAATCCCAACTCTCGTGGTGTAGGTTTTGACAACTCCATAGACTTCACCCACGTTCTGGGGTGGCATGCCCAGACCCGTACACACCCCTCCCACGGTGCAGTTTGAGGAAGTCACGAACGGATATGTCCCTAAACAAAAGCGTCAGATCAGCGCTGCGTGCCAGTGAAGTGTTAGTGAAGCTTTAGGCAATGTCAGGGTTATTTTCATGACTGTATGTACAATAATAGACCTTTGCGTCTGTCAACGCCTATATTTAATTGTAAAAAGTTAGAGGCACACAACACTGCTTAAAATCAAATGACAAATGATTTTTTTTACATAGTGAAAAATAAATTAAAGCAAAGCTAAACCTATTATAATAAAAAAATTAAATGATAAAAATAATATATTAAGAAAATTTAAATACAATGAATTAAACAAATAGAATTTAAAAGTGACTGAAGTGTTAGTAAAGCTGTAGAGAATGTAATGACTGTTATTTTTATTATGTAGAGTAATAAGCATCTACATCTATCAATGTCAAATTTTTTTTTTTTTTTTATTACACAATACATAAATCATTCAACCATAAAAAATAGTAGGAACTATGTTTTAAAATGATGGATAAAAAAAAAAATCATAACATGAAATAAAATAAAATGTGTGAGACTGTATTATTGACTTGTAGACTTATTATTGTTGATAGTTCACAGGACTTAACTAATATGGGAGGACTTTCCCAGAAGTTCACAAATGGGAATCAGCTGGTTAGCACATTGCATAATCTTATATTACACATGGTCTGGGAATGGTATGTACAATGTGTTTCGGTGTATCCATTACTCACCAAAGTCTATGTCCAGCAAGGCAGCATTGGCACCTTCCACCAGAATCTTTTTTGAAGGCCCATGTAGCGCCTCATACATGAAGAAGACTCCATCTCTCACCATGGGCTTTATCCTGTCTACATATGTCTGAAAAAACAATGTCAGAAAGTGTGGTAACCCTTGTTGTCCGTGTGTCACAACAGATGTTACTTTTATGAATACAGTAATTAATAAATGTATTTAAAAAAGTTAACATTATATGATAACTGATATGTTGTGCATCTCTAACTCTTATCCAAGTCCTATAAAATCTTGTAAACCTAACCTACGGAATTAACTGGTGTGACATCTAAGCTTCTCACCTTGAGTTTCTCAAGTTCCCCATCCACATCAATCTCCAGTGAAGGGTACATAGACTTATACTGTGAGGCCAAATGTTTAAATCTGTGAAATAAGACATGAGACTGCTCAGCTGACACTGTGATAGATCAGTTGCTCTTCCATTGTTTCTGTTGGATTAAGACCTGGATTAAGTGTTTTTACAGAGGGTGAGGCTTAACACAGTCTATGGAAATGTGGCATGAATGGGTAAGATAGTTGAGTTGTCAAGCTCATTGGAACAGGTAAGCACACCCTGACCTCTCTGAGAACTCCTGAAAGTCAGCCAGAAGGTCACATATCCTCAGGCCACTGCGAGCTGCTTTGGCGGAGTACACGGGACCGATTCCTTTTTTAGTTGTTCCTAAACTAGGTGGTGAAACAGAAAGAAGGTGAGACTCGTGAGTGATATTCACATGCATTAGATAGACACTTTTTTTCCCATGTTGGTTGCTTTAAAAGAGGGGTCTGCAACCCTTATTCAGGGCCCCCTAAGTGGACATAGACATAGAGAAGTGAACCTGTTACATACAATATTGTATAAAATTAAGTGTAATTTTGTTTACATACACATTTTTATTCAACACTTTAACTGATGAAAAGTGAGAGTAAAGACATTTATAATGTCTTTACTAAAATAAAGAAATGCCGTTCTTTTGAGCTTTTTATTCATTATAGAATCCTGAAAATCTATCAGTTTTAGAAAAATAATAAAGAGCACAACTTCATTATGAATACTGACAATAACATTTTCAACATGGATAATAATAAATGATTCTTGAGCAGCAAATCAGCATATTAAAATTAATTAATTAATTAATTAAATTTAATAAATTTATGCATTTAGCAGACACTTTTATCCAAAGCGACTTACAGTGCATTCAGGCTATACATTTTTTACCAGTATGATATATGATATGATATCTAAAAAATGATATCTAAAGGATCATGTGACACTGAAGACTGGAGTAAAGACTGCAGAAAATTCAGCTTTGCATCACAGGAAAAAATAACATTTATAATATATTGAAATAAAAAATACTTATTTTAAAAATTGTAAAATTGTAAAAATATTTCACAAAATTACTGTTTTTACTGTATTTTTAATCAATTAAATGCAGCCTTGGTGAGCATAAGAGACTACTTTCAAAAACATCTTTGACATCAAAAACATCAAAAAAAATCTTACAGACCACAAACTTTTGAACAGTAGTGTACAACTAACTAAAAGCCATTGAATGAATCATTATTGATGTACATAATCATTTATTTGTACACTACATTTTAATTTCACAATGTTTTAATGTGAGAGGGACTATGAAATATTAATCTGAACTTCAGATTCTTAAATTTAATGCCAGATTTAGCCAATATTACATTTAATATTTAATTTATTTTATTTGTCATATATTGAATGTTATGTTATTAAGAGTATAAAATGTTTTCTTTTTGCAGATATACATATAAACTTCACATTTCACATAAAAGAACTTAGGACCGAAAGTCAATTACTAAGATCAACCCGAGGGGTTAGAAAAGCCACCAATACACATGACTAAAGTTAATCTCTCAAAGTATTTTTTCTTTTGTTATGAACTCATGTCATAACATGTTGCTAGCGTGTTGTATGCGTGTGCATAAAGCAAGGTTTTTACTTTTTGCCAGCTTGCTGTTGCCTCTCCTGTTCCTGGACTCCATCCACAGCTTGATGGAAATCAAACACTAGAGGCAGGAGAGTGTATACATTACAGTGAGACAACTCATCTCTCTGAGCTCTGAACCCAACATGCCAAAGCAGGTCACCATAACAACACTTGGGTTGACTACAATTGATCCTGTGTCCTTTCATTATAACCACTCCTGAGAATCTAGAATTACAACAATAGTCTAAAGGCATAAGGCTGATGATACACGGGGCAACTTTTTGAGCAATGTTGCTGGCCAACTTTGGTTAATGTTGGCATCAACGGGCAACCAGGTGAGACACAGGGCCCACAACCGATCTAAAATATCCAGACAGAAATCTGTTACCCATTCTCAGTGGAAAAGTGCCCAAGCATCACTGCTCAAAAAAAGTTGCCCGACAAAATTGCTCAAAAAGTTGTATCATCAGCCTAATAATTCAAACACAAACCATTATTCTCCATTAGACTCTTTGATTATGTTACATTTGAGAGCAGTATCTGCCTACTTCAAATCCCAAAAGCTAAAAGCATAGCATAACAAACACACACACAAAAAAAAAAAGATGAGTAAAAATGTATTGATGCATCAAACAACATTTTAATGGATTAATTAAATATTATTATTGATATTAAGCTATTATGGCTAGCTAGATTTGCAGTTCCTGAAGGGAACAGCAGTGCTTGCAAGGCATAAAAAGAACAGTGTTAAAGATTTAGGTTCAGGATTTTATGAATATGGAGGTTTTCAAAATTTGATCATAAATTTCATATTTAAAAAAACAGACATTACTGTGAGAAATATTACCAGCATGTTAGAGGGGCGTCAATAAAGTGTCTTGCAAGAACTGTAATAATACCTACTGTATTGTGTTTTTGTTTTTTTTACCAAATAACAATTCTTGACCATTTTTGTTGTAAAAAATATCTCCAAATCCAGAACACCCAATGTACTTAATGTACAGTGGTGTGAAAAAGTGTTGGCCCCCTTCCTGATTTCTTATTTTTTTTCCAAGTTTGTCACACTTTAATGTTTCAGATCATCAAACAAATTTAAATATTAGTAAAAGATAATACAAGTGAACACAACATGCAGTTTTTAAATGAAGGTTTTTATTATTAAGGGAAAACAAAATCCAAAACTACATGGCCCTGTGTGAAAAAGTGTTTGCCCCCTAAACCTAATAACTGGTTGGGCCACCCTTAGCAGCAACAACTGCAATCAAGCGTTTGCGATAACTTGCAATGAGTCTGTTACAGTGCTGTGGAGGAATTTTGGTCCACTCATCTATGCAGTATTGTTGTAATTCAGCCACACTGGAGGGTTTTCGAGCATGAACCGCCTTTTTAAGGTCATGCCACAGTATCTCAATAGGATTCAGGTCAGGTCTTTGACTAGGCCACTCCAAAGTCTTCATTTTGTTTTTCTTCAGCCATTCAGAGGTGGACTTGCTGGTGTGTTTTGGATCATTGTCCTGCTGCAGAACCCAAGTTCGCTTCAGCTTGAGGTCACAAACAGATGGCCGGACATTCTCCTTCAGGATTTTTTGCCATGTAGTTTGGGATTTTGTTTTCCCTTAATAATAAAAACCTTCATTTAAAAACTGCATGTTGTGTTTACTTGTGTTATCTTTGACTAATATTTAAATTTGTTTGATGATCTGAAACATTAAAGTGTGACAAACATGCAAAAAAATAAGAAATCAGGAAGGGGGCCAACACTTTTTCACACCACTGTATATCAATGCATTCATTTGGCTTAAGTTACATACACAACACTACCATTCAAAAGGATGCATTAAACTGATCAAAAGTTTTTTTGGTCACCATGTTTTTTTGGTCACCAAAAAATAAAGACATTTATGTTACAAAAGTTTTCTATTTCAAATAAATGTGGTTTGAACTTTATTTTTAAAGTATACTGAAAAAAAAAACGGTATCAGTTTCCACAAAAATAGTAAGCAGCAGAATTGTTTTTTTTTTTCAACACTGATAAAAATATATGTTTTTTGAGCAGCAAATCAACATAATATAATGATTTCTGAAGGATCATGTGACCCTGAAGACTGGACTAAAATGCAGACAATTCAGTTTTGCCATCATTGCAAATAAGTAATATTTCTAAATATATTAAAATAGAAAACAGTCATTTTAAATTGCAATAATATTTTACAATATTACTGTTTTTCCTTTATAACCATATAAAGTCAAATTTTGCTGTTTGCAGCTGTGAATGTAATTTTGGGATATGATGGTGTTAATATGTCATGAGAGCCATCAGCCTACCGATGTGTGCACGGTCAGAGATGATGAGCCTGTTCTCCCAGCCTTCCAGACCTGCGAGCAAACTCACAGTTAGACTCCTGTGAATACTCACTAATAATTAATCATACAGCCCAAGGGCACAAAAACAGTTAAAAAAACCTTTTCCTTTCCGCACATTCTTCTCAGCCTCCTCGAAGAGACCCGGCAGGTGAATGACTACACCATTACCTGCAATCAAATGAGGAGCTGTCAGTCATCACTGTCCAATTCACCCTGGCCTGAAGTGTTAAATAATGTAGTGTTGGAATATTACAGCAAGTTGTTTAGCCACAGACAAACTCATGTACTTTGTACAATCACAGAAACTTGTTTCTTGAGTCATGCTGTTATCGTTTTAGTTGTGAAAATATCACAGATGGACAAGCAAGTTGTGTGCTTGTCCAGTCAACATTATTAACTTCATAAATATGCAAAAATAACATTAACCAAAGTTTATAAATGTACAGTGAGAATTCTTTAAAAAACAATAGAGCAAGAGATAAAGAATTACCCATTTACAGTCTGAAAAGCCCAGTTGTGTCATTCCAGGTTTTGGAATGAAAATAAATTTGGAATGATGTGTGTGAATAAACATCACACATATCAACCCTTAAACCCTGCAACACAGATTTCTGAAACCTGTATAATCTAATGTACTATGAACATCAAGCACTTCCAATACATCATACTAATCTACAGTCAGGGTGCGAACTACGGGGGAGCTAGGGGGAGCTCAGCTCCCCTTAATAAGACATGGGCTCCCCTGAAAACGTGATTTGTGAAATTTTGGGGGGTCTCAAAAAATATTGACAATGTGTTATTTTGACGTGCAATTTCAGTTTTGTGTAATGTGAACATCGTGGATTATTATGTGTAAAATTGCAAAAATAATAATTCATGCATGACGGCGAATTAAACGTAATTCACTTCAATAAAGATAACTATACATGCTACTCTTGTCATGAGCATCAAGGTGTGGGGGTGCTGCGGTGCAAATTCCACTCATGTTTAGTACATGTTAACTCAAAGATTCGTAGAAAAAATATAAACGTTGGACTCTGTGGTTGATTATGTGTTAAGGTAAGGCATGTTATTCGCAATTATGTGTTGTGGCTGGGTTGTTATAGGTCTGCGTGACTCTCGATGTCTTAGGCCTAATTGAACGGAGGAATTATGGTATTCTTCTGTAGCCTGACGACGAGTAACTTTAACCATTGTTCATGTGAACTCAAAGACAGCCTGATGCTTTGTTTATAGACTATTTGTGGGTGGCTGTTTGTTGTTTCACCTATCAAATCGT